CTTCACAGGTTAAGGTTTATCAGAGAACATTGGTATCAGATCTCTCCTCGTCGGTTAACAAAGAGGAAGAAGTCCAAGAATAAGTTTGGCGACAAATGCACATCCCTCTGCGGTCATCACACAGCAAAACAGCTGGTAACAAAAGAAAATTAAACCAATTAAGTAATAGTAACAAGGCTATATTTCTCTGTTCTCATTGAGACTCAATAAAGGAGTTCTTAAGACCAATAAAATAGGTTAGAGCCGTTTTATTGCAAAAGCTAGGGTGTTAACTAACAATGAACACTATCGGTGCAGTTCTAAGAAATAAAGCGAAAACATTTGTGTTAAAAGCTTTTATGTGTTGTTAGAAGTGGGTGGTATAGATAGATAAGGATAGGTCGATTCTTTAGGAGACGAATAAATTACATAACGAATTAACTATAAGGTGTGATTTTAGTCTCGCCTTTTATCCCCGAAGGGGTAGGCAGAGGTGCACTTAATGCCACTGTACAATGTAACACCCACTTTTCACTATTTATTGAAAATTAAAAAAAAACCCAGTAATACTTTGCCCGACCCGGAAATCGAACTTGAGAATCCTTGCCCGGCAAAGGAGGCAACGAATTATACATAATTATACCAATGAAGACATTACTATTCAGATGTAAATAGTTGTAGTTACAGGTTATCGTATTATTTTATATAATTTGTGAAAGGGTGAAAAAAGTGTAGAACCAACTTAAATTTGAAAGCATTTAACATTTGTATTTCATTTTTCTTAAATTTTTATACTTTCGGTGTACTCACGTAATTATTTCACGGAACTCGACTGGTTTCAAGTAAGCTAGAGGCTCATATTCATGAGCAGCATTTCGCGACCTTTCATTTTTATTGTAAAAAAAGTTACATAGTTTAAAATAATTGTTTGTTCAATAGTCTTCTAGTTTAAAAACAATTGTTCACTAGTGAATTACATTTACAGAAATAACACAAATGTTAGTCTGTTGAAAATATAATGAGAACCATCTTCATTATCGATATGATCGCCCATCTAACTTTGTAATAGCACGGATTGGAAATGAAACTGATAACATCTGCCTTGTCTTCAAAACTAATGACTAGATATGACTGAGACACTTTCTATCTACTTTCAACTGAAGATAATATTGTGTTGTAGGTATGTACATAGGTACTAAATACACATGACATCACGCCTTTTGTCCCCGAAGGAGTAGACAGAGGTGTACATTACGGCACTTAATGCCACTGTACAATGTAACAATATTTATGTTAAGAGTCCCATGTAATAGGGGGTGAACCTATTGCTATATACCAGGCACAATCTCCGACTCCGTGGTATTAGTGAGATTTTTTTTAAAAACCCAGTAGTACTTTGTCCGATCCGGGAATCGAAGCCGAGACATTTTGCCTGGTAGTCGCACTTGCTACCACTTGGGCAACAAGGCAGTCGAACGTTGACAATGACTTCTAAAATCCTAAAATTAACTGAACGGTTATGTAAAATAACTATCAAAGCCTATCATTAGTTCTCAACAAGATTCTAAGCCCCGGAACAAAATCATAAACCGAATCCAATTGTGGTATGGACATAGAGATACCTAGAACTCATCGACATTGACTTTAACCCACTGACCGCAGAGCGTTATTTTAGGAAACAAATTAAGGCCGATAACGGAACACGTCGGAATTGGCTCCGAGTAGAATTACTCCGAAACATTTCGGTTGAAACCATTCGAAGGTTTTTTTTCGGTTGAATTAATTATTCAAGTTGATTAATTTTATACAATACTAGCGACCCGCCCCGGCTTCGCATGGGTGCAATATGCATGTATTATACATACAAACCTTCCTTAAGAATCACTCTATCTATTAAAAAAAACCGCATCAAAATCCGTTGCGTAGTTTTAAAGATCTAAGCATACATACGGACATACAGCGAAAGCGACTTTGTTTTATACTATGTATTGAAGTACACAAGTACTACATGTATGCTATGTTCTTACTGTTTCCCTTGGCCTTTTGATTGTAAGGAAGCAGTGGAATTGAAATTATTCCAAATGAGTGATTTTCACACAAAACTATTGAACTGTGCCATATAGGTAGAGGTTGCTGAAGGTGGCTGTACAGTGGTCCCGTTTGGCATATACATTTCAATGGTTCGTTAAGATTTCTATCTCCATCATGTCTATGTCTAGTTAGATAACTAATAAATAAATAATAAAATAAAAAGCCTTTTATTTCTTGCAAAATTACTTAGCTTGAAAAAAACATAACATAACAAAAGAAACATGAAAAATTAAAGATGATTAAATAATGGTTCCCTATGTAAAATTATTTATATTACATATTAATAATTATAAAAGTTAAGAGAATCATCATTTAATGAAGTCAATTACTGATTTTAAATTACTTTCATATCAATTTAATTACACATTTAAAATTTAAAATAATTATAATTATAATTATAATAAATTCAATTTTATGTACATTTATAATAAATAAAATTCCAAGAATATTCAATCTATAAGGTGAATAAATTATAATAATAACTAATAGTCGCTTTATAATGAAAACAACAAATATGTGAATTTCTTATATTAAGTCCTCGAAACTCATAATAGTTCAGCTCCATACAAAATGTGACTAAACTCAACTCTATTATTGTTAAGCAGATATACTGCTAGAAGTTCGTCAATGATTAACATAACACTGTGTTTTTTTAAACGTTGCTCCACACTAAGATATTCTCCAGTCGGTGGGTGCGTTTACAAACATACAAGTTCACATACACATGACATCCAGACCCGGAACAATAATTTGTGGGTCCCACAAAGATTTGATACGTGCTGAGAATCGAACCCGCTACCCGTTGCACGACAGCCAGTTGTTTTGTCACCGCACCAATTGTGCAGTCAACAAGACTATGATATTCTATGACAATTTAACTCAGCAATGTCAAGTTAATAACTAGACTGAACCTTACTAATACTGCTTGTATCAATATTTATGTGAATATCTCTTGCATCCAATTTAGTTTAGAGAGCCACGCAAACATTACCGATAGATACTGTTATTGCAATTGTAACGTATACTACCATACTATGTACAGATGGAACTGAGCAAATTGATGTAAGTATGTAGTCTGATATAATGCATAGAAGGGGGTTTTTGTTGCATTTTGTTCTACATTATCAACAGCCTATAAATGCCCACCACTGCTGAGCAAAGCTTCATCTCACACGGAAAAGGTTTGAGCATTAATTATCACGCTAGCTCAATACGGGTTGACGATTACAAACTTATAATTATTTTTCCTGTTGATTTTTTTTTATTCTACATAATGCCACATTATACCTACTAGTACGGAGCCTAATAATTATCGCAAACCTATTAGTTTTTTTAACCAGAACCAATGTGTTTCGAACCAGTGGTTAACGTTGCGGCATTAGCGCAATGTGTATTTTGAAAAACGTGTTACACTCAAAATGGTAATTTGGAATCTCTGGACAGGTACACCCAAAGCGATTCCAAATTACCAAAATAACATTTGGAACAGCAAATCCTACCATATATTCTGCAACAAAGAGCCTATTTTTGCCCATCGACAAGGATAAAGTGTGAAATCTCGTAAAAAAATAAAAACGTTACATGTACTGGGCTAGTTTGGGTAATCAATCATTCAATTTTGTTGGGCCCGTCGTGGCCGGATGCGGGCACGCACCGAGCTACTAATATAATTTGAAATGTTTACTATTATGTGTGGTTTCTGAGATTACCGTTTAATATTTTGTGATGAAAGGAAAAAATGAGCGTTTATTTTGAGGGAACATTAAGTTTGCTTTTGCTTATAAATAGAATACCTATACCCGGTCAAGATTTGCTACATACAGACCGGTCACATAGGCATGTTGCTGGTTGCCTACCCAACTGTTTGTCGGCGACTAAATCAATCTTTTATTGACAGTCTGTAGTCACAATGCATTAGCAGTTTGTTATACAACAATGCGCAATGGTATCTCCATCAAATAAAGCCATACTGGGATAAGTAAAGGTGTAATTATCGATAAATAATCCTTGATCAACCAGCTGCCAATAATTCATTAGTCAGCTATATAAAACCTATTGTCATATACTAGCTAGGCGTAACATGCTAACCTCACCATGTACTTTCTTTCCTACATTAGTAAAACTTCCACCAACACACCTACATCAAGTGAAATAATGCGTCCAAAAATCTATTAGTGTGTCCAAAGTACGTAACTCATAGTTGTGTCACGCACAAGATGGATGGCCCTGTATGAGCCCCGTCTCCCATGGCCCCGGTGTTAAATTACGGTAAACGTTTTTGTGGATTAACAACTAAGTAAGCGGGTTTGTTAACTAGTGGTAGTATAGTTTGTTAAAACTGGGATCTGTGGTTGATATTGTTATGCTAGTTTTTGTTTTAAGCGGTAGGAAGGGGAGTTTGTGGTATGAGTTTTAAGTTGTGTGTGATGTTTTTAGATGTAAAACGTAAAGATACTTTGGTCGATAGAGGCAGCGGCATTCTTAATATTATTTTAATCCATTGTTTTATTTTATGTTTGAAGAAGAATATGGCATATTCTTATGTATGTTATGTAACATAACCCATAACCAATCGAACACAACCAATTTATTATGGCCAGAAATGAGAATAAGGTGCACTTATAAGATTAATCCAATCGATTTCTAGAGGGAAATAACACTTATTTGTTTTTGTAATCGATGCGTAATCAGATTTGAAAGACATCTAGCAAAGAAAAAGATCAAAAAATTTGCACAGATCAGTTTTGCCAGGCGCATCGCCGACGATGTGTGTTTTTCTGAATTTGCCATATTTTTCACCATTCCTTGTGTTTTAAAATGCCTTTTTTTACTACTCTTAGTTCCCATGTTCCTTTTAATTTTTTTTAAAGGGTCTCTCACCAAATTATTATTTTTGTTTTAATCTACAATCACACCCATTTTATTTACAGAACAACGTGTTGAGATTCGAGCTGTATCGCCTAAAGGTAAGATTTTGGCTCGTTTGCAAAAATAAAAATACTAACAATGCTTGGTATATGGTAAACTGGGTTTCTGGTGGTGGTAAAATTATTGATGGTAACGTTGCTATGTATGTACTAATATTTTAATAACTATACGCCTTGCTTTCTTTGATTGTCTTGCGTATGAAAACTGTCCATTTATTTTGACAAAAACTTGGACGTGGTAGATGTTATGAAAATCGATGAATGTAGTTGGAATTACATTTGAAGTTAAGTCTCCTTTTAACCAAATTATTTAACTAAGGGTCTTAAATAAATGTATTTCTCCACGGACTTGTGTCCGTGCCCTTGTCATATTACAGGTACATTGTTTTCATGGTCAAATAATTGTTATAAAGATCTTAAACTACAGTTTTGAAATATACTTCTGTATTTTTGTAATATTATTGCTATATTTTTGCAGTTGACCGAGTGGTCACAAGTGCGACTACCGGGCAAGGGGTCTCGGGTTTGATTCCCGGGTCGGGCAAAGTAATACTGGGTTTAAAAAAAAATCTCAGTAGTAGCACGGAGTCTGGAAATGGACCCGGTATATGGCAATAGGCTCACCCCCTATTACACGGGACTCATAACATACATGGGACTCATAACATAAATAGTGAAAATTGGGTATTACTTCTGTGTGCACCTCTGCCTACCCCTTCGGGGATAAAAGGCGTGAAGTTATGTTATTTTTGCAGTTTTATGTGCAGACATTTTAAAATAAGGTGACATAATAAATGACACCATAAAAAATATTTTACAAACATTTCAGAACTTCTTGATGAAAATAGAAAAAGGTCATAACAAAGACATACTTTTATGCTTAAAAATAAATAATTACGAAGCAAACAGCACCTGCAGCAAATTATCTTATTTACCTGCCTTTTGTTTGCGAACTGCTAATTATATTCGAAAAAGTTATCTATAATTCCCTTTGAGATGTAAATTATTTATGACTTTTGTTAATAAGGTGTATTTCGGTATATTCATTATTGTGTTTTAAAAATAATGAGTGTATTAATATTTTTTTTGGTATAAGTAAATAAACGAGTCGACGGATCACCTGGACGGGCGTCGCCCATGGACACCTGAGGCGTTGGGATTCAGGGATTGTGGAGGGGGGGGGGGTCGGGCCTCCGATAAACGCACTCACACGTCGAAACACAACGCAAGCGTTGTTTCACGTCGGTTTTCTGTGAGGCCGTGGTATGACTCCGGTCGAGCCGGCCCAGCCGTGCCGAAGCATGGCTCTCCCACACTTATACACATTATAATTGTAAGTAGATTAAGTAATAGTAGTTTTACGATACGCTGGAAGGATTAACCCCTTTATAAAAGGAGGACAAGATATTGCCAAAAAGTAGTAGGATGGCTAATAAGAATTCTATCTTGATGTCAATCAACGACAAATTATTTGAGAAAACGCAAGAATGAGAAATGATTTTCTAGTGGCTAGCTAAGTAGGTTACTTGATCATGCACTGTACCTATTTCTAGAAACGTGGAAGCCTACGTTATGTTAAGTTACGTTACTGTAACTTTGTGGTAGCATCTAAATCTTCGACGAAAGTTTGTATCTTTATGAGTTTTTAGTCACGAATGTCTCAGATTCTATGACTTTCGTGACTCCATGAATACATTAATGAGACTTTGTTGTCGAAGAAATATTGTAGTTTTTAGTTTGAAGCAAGTAAGCAATCATTGTGACTGGTCTAGTAATGTAAACATAGCTACGGAATGATATTATTATTTTCACTAACACTCCACCACTGGACTATGTGCACTGGAAAGTCCACTGCCACCGTAAGACTACTATCGGTTGCGCTGCAGCGCTTATACACACATGTACATGCATTTTTTATCCGTGTGCGTATGCGTGCGTGTGTTTATGCGTACGCATGCGTTCTTATGCTCATTAATATGAAATTACTTACGCATTGCCGTGTGAACATCACTCACAGTGGCAGTGGACTTTTGACTTTTGACTGTACATACATAACAGGGTTTGTTATACTCTCCTCGCTTGGTGTCTGTCAAAAGTGAGATTCTCTAGTAGGCTTTCACGAAACCTACACTTTACAAGTTTCTTAAGAATATACAGGGATTACACACATACATACATAACCTCACGCCAATTACTACGATTCCAACATACCTCTTTCGCTTCATCAACAGTTATAATAGTTATAATATATATACAGGGATTATAATACTTTATTTCATATTCTACTTTAAAAAAATTGATCTCAACTCCCTCTTTTTTTAAGTCGGTTAATTAACATACTAAAACCTTTTTCAAAGTGCAACTAACACCGAACACCACATCAATATCAGTGGAGCCACTCGCAAGATAATCGGGCACATACATATACATAAATATATACGTATACATTATACATACAGCC